ATATTTAGATCACACTTTTTAAGTTGATTAATAACATTTAGATCACACCTTTTAAGTGTGATCTTTGAAAGTGTGATTAAAAATGGTCATTTTTAATCACACTTTTTAAGTGTGGTTAATAACATTTAGATCACATCTTTTAAGTGTGATAAATAACTAATAAAATCTATAATAAAAAAAGGGTTCGACATATTTGAAAAATAATCAATATTATTTTTGTATGCACATTTGAAGAATGTAATACACACTATATACTATATTTTAAATTATAACCACATATTGAATAGAATAACGTCATATATTTCATAAATAAAAATTAAATATTCAAAAGTATATACAAATGAATTAAATAAAAAAAAATTAACTGTGCTTACATATATTAAAAAATGAAAAAACTTAAAAAAACCAAGTTCTTTAATTCTTGGACCATATTTTGCCTCTCCAAAAAAGTTCTGACCTGAAAAATAAAAACACAAATTAATCTAGAAACCGCTGATGCATATGAATAAACTAAAAAGTTAATTCAGCAAACCAAAATAGGAACATTAATCATTTCTGCTTGATCCTAATCCTTTTGGAAGCAACTTCCCTGTTAACAATTAGATGCCATAGAGGTCACTAATGAGCACAGTATTTAAAAATGATAAATCTCAATACAGCTTTGGTACGATCGTTTTGTGAATGTATATTATTATTACTGTTGAACCATAATTCTAGGTACCCATAAATAAATAAATAAAAACTCAAGAATTTACTCCAGTTTTTTTTGGGGGGGCAGAGTACATACATTGCAGTTTCTATCACCAGCAGCAACAGGTTTTGAAGAAGCAGATGCTGCATTTATGAAAAGAATTCATCGGAGCTTCTAAATACACTCGCTTATTTTCTCTCTACACTCACTATATGCATTGTATATCTTGTATGTTACGAAGAAAAATTTGTGGATAGGTGTAGAGATGAACATGACAGGTGCGTGGTTGGCTTAGAAACTCCCAATTGCATCATTTAAAACGAGGATTATGTGTATATATATGTTGTTTTACAAAATTATCTAAATGAAATTGTTTCTTTTGAAGTTACAACATTTTTTCCATTTTGTTTTCCATAGCATTTAAAACAAGTACTCTGTTTTATGTAAATAATCATTTACAGCATTGTATGAGAATATCACCAATTATATTTATTTTCGAAAATGGATCCATTCTGTTTTGCAATCATCCAAGTCAGATTGGAGCTTTCTTTGCAATGACACTATACTAATGATGCATTTGGTTCTCTAGATGCCATGGACATAGAAAAATCCAAGGTATTTAATAATGCAATAAGAAGCTAAAATATAAAGCTGACCTGTGTGACCCACTGTTCACTCTGAGTCATATATCTCTCAGTCATTTCCTCCCTGCTAAAACAAACACTCAAGCCCTTCATTTAGTCCTAAAAGAGTACTAAAAAAAAAGTTAACGAAAAAAGGGCAAAATTTACTTTACCCCATATGGTTTACTCCATGTGTTGTTTATGCTCAGATGTTTAAAATAAGCATATAATTTACTTCATGTGTTCTCTCATTGTCTAGGTGATTTGTTGATGATTTGTACAACCTGTGGCCCTAGATATGGCATAGTGGGTAAAGAAAACTCTTGAGAAGTTGGGCTGAAGATAGGTTTGATTTATTGTTATAATTTTTATTTTTGTTGTCATATATAATCATGAATTTGCTAATAATAATGTGAAATTGAAGCTTTGGACTTGAAATGCAATATACCTCAGCTATGTCTTGTAAGATTTGAATGATCCTCAAAGCAGTTGTAGAATCCAGGCCAGAGGTTGGTTCATCAAGAAACAAAAGAGAAGGGTTGATTATAATCTCATTGCCAATACAGACACGCTTCCTCTCTCCTCCTGAAACTCCCTGAACAAAAGAGCTACCGATCATAGTGTCTTGGCACCTGAGCACATTGATATTCCTCATTGATCAGCTCATGAGAACAGGTATGATTCATTTGTGTGTGGTCTGTTTTTTGCTATATCTGACTTTAGCTAACACATAATTCAAGATAATAGCATAGCAGAGAAATGAGAATTTACCTCTCCAGGCCCAACTCGTCGATTACGTCTATGGCTCGTTTTTCCTTTTCCTGTTTTGTCAATGTCTTTGGAAGTCGTAGGAGTGCTACATATGTTAATGTTTCCCTCACTGTAAGGTGAGGAAAGAGCACGTAGTCTTGAGTCACGAATCCTATCCTGAAATATATTTCATGTTATTCTAATGTGTGATTACCCTTTATTTTCACATCACTTATCCTTTTTTCTTTTTTTTTAATGGTAATGTTCAGGCTATACTTTTATGTGAACATTGAACATTCATATAGGTGAAAAATTAAAACCAATTTCAATTAGGTAGGTTTTAGAGGAAATCTGTCTTGATCAGGCTAATATGATGAAAGTGGTGGAAAGCGAAGGAAATGGTGGAAAAAAGTTAGAACTGTCTTGAGTTTGTTTAGCATAAAAGTGGTGGAAGTTATAAGAAGGTAATTTTTCTATCCATCCCATGGTAGCATGGTAACTAAGCTTTTAGTTTCTTACAAAAAACACAGAAAAATACAAGAAAGTTTAAATTTGTTCATAAAATTTTTAAATTTCAATATCAGCGTGTCTGAGTCGTGTCACGTATCCGTGTCTATATCCATGCTTCTTAGGTTTTAACTTTCTTTGCATTAGTTGAAGTGATGATGGATTTCTGTGAATATATATAACAAAGGCCTATGAGAAAACTGTTATTGTGTATACTACAAATTGAAAGTGTTTTATTTTTCTTTATATGCATAAGCACATTACTTACCTTACTCGGACTGCCTACTGCTGTGTATATGCATACCAGTTTTCAAGTCTCATATATGTATATGCATACCAGCTTTCAAGTCTCATATATAGATTTTTTAGTAGTGAAATATTCCTTGTAACCAAAGATAGGAGTTTTTTAGTAAATTTCCTGAGAACCAAACACACATAAATACAGTGCTACTAGCTCCTTCATGTATATCTAGATTGTTACCTGCTCTTTAGGAACTTCGAATATGGCTGGTCATTATAAGTAATTGAACCTCTTGGTGTCGACCCTCTCACCCTGCCAACGAGCAGACTTAGAAGTGTAGTCTTTCCACTCCCCGAAGGCCCCATCAAGTTTTTCTTTTTCTTTTCGAAAATTCAACCTCCTCTGTACCTTTGTGAGCTTATCTTCAGTTTACCATCAGTTTATATTGGATTAGCTTAAAAACACAAACAAGCATTAGAAGCATAGATGATTTCACAAAAAACATGAGCAATGAACTGATAAATGGCAAAAAACCATCAACACTTATCCTAAAACCCGGTTTCAAGCAGTGGCAACTCTAGAAATATTGGTTAGGATAGTCATTGAAAAACTAGATTAGAATTTATGCGAAAGAAATCACACTTGTCATCCACTTTCAATAAATCTCCTACTTTAAACATTTTAAATCTAAAAAAATTAAAATATTGACACTATTATTTCAACAAAAAGATATTAGATACATGGAGTATTACAATTGCTCTCAACAAGTTATAAGACTCATATCTAATTTTGAAGGAGCTTTAAGCCTTTTTTTAAAAAAAATTATTTGTGCCGTAATTCAACATAAGTTACATTTAATGAGAAATTTCGGGTATTATTATTTTTTTTATGTAAGCATATTTTTTTTAGTCAACTGTTCATATTCAGAAATAAAGTGTATAAAACCTGCAATTTGGGAATAGCCTCCATCACATCAACTTTAAATATATACGATACACTTCATTTATAGACTTTTTTCTGGTTATCTACTTCTGACGAAGGTATTACTTTTAGAATTGAAAGACATTATGAGTAAGTGTGCATAGTTTGGAGTAGATGAGTTAGGAGTTCAAGATTTATGAGATTGCGAATTTGGGTATTCAAATTATGAGGGGGATTTTGGAGGGCGTGGGAATTGGAAAAAAAAGAGGAGAAACCGAGCGAGCCGGATTGAGAAAAAAATAATAATAATAATAATTTTTATCATAAATGAATATTTAAAAATAAATAAATAAATAATAATTTTTATTTTCTTTTTGTTATTAAGGTTGAGAATTTATTTGTTTCATTTTTATTTTAATGAATAAAAAATTATTATTATTATTTTTTATTTGGTAGAAGTAAGGATAATATTTTAATAAAAATTATTTTCTATTAAGAGTGATGACTGAGAGAGAGAGACGGATAGAGAGAGACAGGCAAACAAAGAGAGAGAGAGAGAGACAGAGAGACAGAAAAAGAGAGAGAGACAAGAGATCATGAGCGATACAAAAAGAGAGAGAAAGAGATCGAAAAGAGATGAACGATAGAGAGAATAGAAAAATAGAGAGATAGAGAGAAGATAGACGAGTGAGAGAAAAAGAGAGATGAGCGAGAGAAACAGAGAGAGAAAAGAGGTGAGAAAGATAGAGAGAAGAGAGATGAGCGAGAGAGACAGATAGAGAAAACAAATGAGAGAGATAGAGGGAAGAAAGATGAACGAAAGACACACAGACACACAGACAAACAGACAGATAGACAAACAGATAGAGAAAGAAGAGCGATGAGTGAAAGAGAGAATGTGAAGGAGATTAGTGGTGAAGTTGTGGTAGTGGTAGAGTAGATGAAGTGGCAATGGTGAAAGAGAGGTAATGGTAGTAGTAGTGGTAGTAGTGGTAGTAGTGGCAATGGTAGTAGTAATGGTAGTCGTAGAGGTGAAGTGGCGACAGTGGTAGTAATGGTGGTAGTGGAACAGCGTTTGCAGTAGTGAATGTGGTAAAGGAGATGGGTGGTGAGAGAGAGAGAGATGAGTGGGAGACAGATAGAGGATAGAGAGAGAGAGAGACAAAGAGAGAGACAGACAGAGACAGAGTGATGAGCGAGAGAGAGACAAAGTGGTCGCTAAAAGTGCATTTTCTTGTAGTGGATAGATAAATCGAGAGGGAGCTTAGTAAATAGAGAAGACGGAAGGGAGAGAGTGAGCAACGCGAACACAGTAGGAGAGAGAGAGAGAGAGAGAGAGAGAGAGAGAAAAGAGAGAGAGAGAAGAGAAAGAGAGGGAGGGACAAAAAGATAAAGAGATAGAGAGTGAGGGACGGAGAAAGGAGAGAGATGAACGAAAGAGACGGAGAGAGAGATAGAGAGAAGAGAGATGAGCAAGAGAGACATAGAGAGATGAACGAGAGAGACAGAGAGAGAAATAGAGAGAAGAGAGTTAAGCGAGAGAGACAGAGAGAGATGAGAGATAGAGAGAAAAGAGATGAGTGAAAAAGACAGGGAGAGAAAAGAGATGAGAGAAGAGATAGATGAGTTAGAGACAGAGGGAGAGACAGATAAACAGAAAGAAAAGAGTGATAAGTGAGAGAGAGAAAGAGAAGAGAGAGGGGAAGATGAAAAATAGGTGAAAAGATATAGACAAAGAGAGAAAGAGGGAAAAAAAGAACGAAAAGAGATAAACGAGAGAGAGACAGAGAGAGATGAGTAAGAGAGATATAAAGAAGAGAGACAGAGAAAGAAGAGAGATGGGAGAGATAGACAGAAGAGAAATGGACGAGAGACAGAGAGAAAGAGAGACAGACAGACAGACAGACAGACAGAGAAGAGTGACGAGTGAGAGAGAGAAAAATAAGAGAGGCAGACACAGAGAGAAAGAGAGAGACAGACAGACAGAGAAAAGTGAT